CACACAGATTCCTGGGCTCCTCCCCTAGGGTCTGACTCCGGTTGGGCTGGAGTCTGAGAACCTGCATTTCCGACGAGCTCCCAGGAGGGTGATGGGCCACACTGTGAGTGGCCCTGGCCTAGGAGAGCCTCTGGGCAACACAGGGGGGGGGGGGGGGGGGGGGGGGGGGGGGGCCCGCCCTCACCATGTGAGCTGCCCCGGGCTGCGCCCTGAAGGCCGCTGGTGATACACCCATCAGGACGCCCCAGCCCGAGGATCCGGAGAGCCTGGAAGGCTGTGTTAAGTGCCCTGGGCTTGATTTGAGTGTGGTAGGAAGCCTTACAAAGATTTTAAGCAAGAGTTGAGGCCGCTGGACAACCGGACAAAGCCAGCGCCTGCCCACTGGGATCAGTTGTAGGGAACACGTCAGGGGCTTGGAGTAGCAGTGACGGAAGGAGGGAGAGGCCGCAGATGCTGGAGCTATAGCAGGAATAGAAGGGACCTGGTGAGTCATGGCCTTGGCTGCTGCAAGGAGATCAGGAGGAGGGGGCGGGAGGACACTGGGGTGCCTGGCTCCAAGGCTGGGAGCCATTTCTGAGACCAGAGACGTGGGGGAGCGCTGATAAGGGGTTCCATCGGCCTGACTGATGGACACAGGGAAGGGGAGTGGGCTTCCTTTGAACATAGCAGCCCTCATTGCCTTGGGCTGCGTGGCCTCCCCTTGCTTCACCCCTGTTCTGGCTGCTCTGGGCCGGGGGGTGTCCATGGTTGACCCCCCAATTCTTCTGGGGCTCTGTGTGCAGGCTGTTGCTCTGGCCTTAGGAAGAGTCCTGCAACAAACTTCCCAGGGCACCAGGAAACAAGCGAGTTCCATCCAGCTTGTGTTACCAAAAAAGGCTATTTTCCCCCTTTGAAGGTTTGCCCAGCCCTTTCCCTCCTCCCCCCAACCTGGGGTTTCAGGTTTCCAGGGAACTGTTTCTGGAAAGTGTAGCACTTTGAGTCACACGCATCTGTGTACAGGCAAATATAATATGTACGTACCACACTCCGTCTTGATGTCATAAACCTCATCTTCCTCCTTCTCCTCCTCCACCACCATCACCTCCACTCACCACCTCCTCCTCCACCACCATCACCACCACCACCTCCTCCTCCACCACCATCACCTCCTCTCACCACCTCCTCCTCC